TGAATGATGCGGTGTAGACATTGAAAGACTAAGTGTTTAGTGCTTATTAATGAGAGCCAGAGCCTTATATTGCATTATCAATGGAAGATAAATCTTAGTGTTAAAGGTCTGTTAGTGAAAGGCTGGCATTGTATTAAGAATTTGTCAATGGAAGGCAAGGTTCAATGTTATACTGTACAGTGATCAAGAGGCTGGTCTCTGTGTTAGGTGGTCAGTTGGATGCAGGGATTAGTGTTAAGGGGTGATTAGTGAGAAGAAAGGTTTTGTAAAAAAAATGAATCAGGGCTTACTGTTAAGGGTTTGTCAATGAGAAGCAGGGAATGCAATTTTGTAAGGTTAATGTTTACCTTAAGCCCCCACTTGCCCAACACGGTACATGGACACATACTAGAGCAGGGGTCTCCAACTCCGGTCCTAGTGAGCTACTATCCAGTAGGTTTTCTATCCTACCTGGCTTCTGATGAACCACACCAGTTCTCATTTAAATACCAGGAGCAGGTGTGGCTCATCAGAAGCCAGGTAGCATAGAAAACCTACTGGATAGTAGCTCTCCAGGGCCGAAGTTGGAGACCCCTGTACTAGAGTATCTCACAGCTTTGGACATTAATTTTTCTCCAAAACATACTTGGATGAGAAAGTAGGGTCAGGCAGTGTCCCTGGAGTAAAGGGTTTTGTTCAAGGCCCTAATGGTAACACTGCTCTGCCAAGCACAGGATTTGAACCAGCAACCATCTGATGACAGGCAGAGAATGCTAACCCTGAGAGCAACATGTCCTACCACTGCTGCAGACCCAGCTAAATGGGCCATGAGATTTGAGTGTTCCTCTCTAACCACTCCAGAATGTATTGAATAAATGACTAAAGCTGGAAATTTAATGGGGCGATCAAGGTGAAACAGACAAACATTCCTTTATTTCACTGGATTTTGATCTGACTCCAAAGAGCTGGCATATGGTAAATACTGTCAACAGATGAATGTTACAACCAAGCCTGACTGTAAATGAGCATGACCGTGACTGCTGCACTAATGGGGGAAGCTGACCTGGCAGTGCAGGCGTTATTCACCATTGCTCGAGCGAGCTCCACCCACATTCACATCGTTAGCAAAAACAAACATGCTTGGATTTGCAGTCAAGAGAATCCAAGAATCGAATACAAACTCTGAGCCCTCTGCTTATGCACATCACCTGGGGAAAGGGCAGCATATCTCCAAGGCTCCCAGACACTCAGTATGTTTTTGAAGTGCATTTAAGCTACAGTCTCATATCTACAAAATGTCAAGAAGAGGTCGGTGATGCTTCTTACATGTGTAGATAGCTGAAAGGTCCTGCAAACCAGCCATTGATGTCAACTTTTAGATGTGCAGCGAGGATGAAAAACCCTGGATAAGGGGACAACAGCTGCATGTTGAGCTGGAGATTAATCCTGGGGGTCAGAATCCATGGTCCAAGCACAGCAACATGGTTCCTAAATCCCCTGTTTTATCAGCAGGCTCAGATCAAGTTCTTTGGTTTAAGGGTGAATCATGGGGTGCTGCAGAATCGACGAGGGAACACAAACTCTCATGTGCCACCATTACAGAGCAATCTATCCAACAATAATGTCATACAAAAAGAAATCCATGACTTCTCAAGGGTGAGTGACACTGAGCCTGAAATGAATTCAGCACAGAGTTCATGAACATGGACATACTTGTGATCATTACATTGTACACAGACTCTGTCATGCCGTGGATCATAAATGTCACATAGTATTATGGTTCTCTTATACTGCTCTTTTAATTTTAAGAATGGTATCCTACTAAAGGATACTGCAGAATCCATGACATTCTCACAGCTGCTCTGCTCTGCATTTGGAATATAATTATTACTATTTTACTATTTTACCACGGTAACACTTTACTTGAGGGGGTGCAAGAAGCTTAGTAACAAAGTTACTAGTCAAGTACAACTCATGAACAAATACAGAAATTAAACTAAATAACTGTATGAAATATATGAATCATTATGACCGATTAATGATGGATGAACATGGGATCAGTAACTAACACTTAGTTACTGCTTAATTACTACATGCTTAATTAGTACAAGTAAGTGTGTAATACTACAGTATTTGTGGCCCATAAAGTAAAGTGTTACCAAAGTCACTTTTAGGTTGCATGGGGAAATGTAAGGGGAATTAAATAATTAAGGTTGAACAAAGAATCATGTTTTAAACATCAATACATCAGTCAGGAACATGTAACTTGTAGGAAAAATTGGTCAACATTTAAACACCGAATTCAGGTTATAACATCATGCGCTGACTTGTGGGTCATTACGTGCAATTTTCGACTTGCACCTGAAGAGCTGTGGATTCAGACACTGCCTGAAACGTGTGGGCGGAATTTGCATGTTTTTCCAAAGGGATATGATTCCAGTAAACCAGAACCTCACAGCCATTTCCGCATGAGGGCACTTTGAATAGATGGTTCTGTTCTGTTACGCCCTCCATATCTCAGGAGGGGTTCTGAGGCAGTGATGATTCCATACATGAAAGATATCGGACCAGTGTTTTTCCCAGGAGCTTACATCTTAGACAGTTTCTCAATCCAGTCTCCAGGGAGCCCCAGATGGCCTACATCTTTGCTCCTTCCCAGCTTCCTGCCTGACAATTCACATTTATGTTCCCAAAAATGTGGACTATATGGGGGTCAGCGAAAACTGGTTTGAGAAACACTGCTCTAAGATATGTTTTACTCATGTTTAATGTCAAACGCTGAAAGGTGGAATATATCCGGTGAAAGTTCTTGTGTTCCCAGAGAGATGCAGGTTTTTCTTGTTCAACCCAAGCGGACATAAGCCGTGTCACAAATCTATGAAGAGCTTTTAACACATGCTTTGTTAGTGTTTAAACCAAGCTTCAAAGGTCAAACGTATAGTATTCTCAATGGTTTCTGAGGTCTCACAGATCTCACTCACACAAGGATACAATCCACTCCAACAAGACACACCTTTAAACAGCATGCTTTGTGGAAATCTGAACATCATTGATTTACTGCTCTGGGAGAGTCCTGATAATATACTTTTGGGAAAAAAACTACTTCCAAATTGAGAAGGGAAAACATGACAATATAACACATGGGCATAGAAAACAGAATAACAGTCATTGTTCATTGTTAGTGACTGTTCGTGAATCACCAAAGGACAATGAGAAGCCTTTGATGGAGGCTGAAAGTATTTATATGACTATTTAGACATCACAAGAAAAATGCCCCCGAGAAAATGTTGAATGGCTCTTCTGCAGGGTTTGTGGTGCAAAGTGGGGGATTTTTTATCACACTCATAGAATCTGTAGATGTAGAGTGTAATTGTAGGATCTGAAGGTGTAGAGTGTAATTGTAGGATCTGAAGGTGTAGAGTGTAATCGTAGGATCTGAGAGTGTAGAGTGTGTTCGTAGGATCTGAGAGTGTAGAGTGTGTTCGTAGGATCTGTAGATGTAGAGTGTGTTCGTAGAATCTGAAGGTGTAGAGTGTAATCGTAGGATCTGAAGGTGTAGAGTGTAATCGTAGGATCTGAAGGTGTAGAGTGTGTTCGTAGGATCTGTAGATGTAGAGTGTAATCGTAGGATCTGAAGGTGTAGAGTGTAATCGTAGGATCTGAAGGTGTAGAGTGTGTTCGTAGAATCTGTAGATGTAGAGTGTGTTCGTAGGATCTGAGAGTGTAGAGTGTGTTCGTAGAATCTGTAGATGTAGAGTGTGTTCGTAGGATCTGAGAGTGTAGAGTGTGTTCGTAGGATCTGTAGATGTAAAGTATAATCGTAGGATCATAGGGTGTAGAGTGAAATGGGACTGTCACCTCAGCTTTGCAGAACAGAAAGGACACACTCCTGGTTTTTAACAAACTCATTTCCAACTATAAGAAATGCTAAACATGAACTTAAACCTTGTTTGCTCTTAATTACAAAACCTTCAAACAAATGTTTTATCCTGGTGAGCTGAAATTCTTGCAAACCACATGCCTTTGACTGCTGTCGTCTTCTTTGAAACTTAAAATATTCCTTATAAGTGAATGTAAACCCACTTTCTTCAAGTACAAACACAGTGTTACTGGGGTGGGGAAAATTTCTTTCTTCTTGCTTACCGTCACTGGAAGGGTCCCCTCGAGTCTGAATCATTGTGTTCCTTCTTTTTTCACCTTGTCACACACATTAGATTTGTTTTCAAATCTACCTTTGTATAGTTGTTCATGTGGTGTAGCTCAGTCCTGTCATCTGTTGATTCAAATTTGTTGATGCAACGGATCTCCCTTCTAATGCAAACATGGCATTGTCATGTGGGAATGATATTGCATACAGGTATGAATTTGAGATTGTAGTTTAAAAATGGCTAATTGTGCTGCCCTAATTCAGAATGGATTCATAGGATCTGTATATCCTGCAGCTAAATTCTAGATCACTCTTTTGAAAACTGCTGAAAACTGATTTTAAGATAATCAATGGCTAAACAACTGGCCTGAACAAACTTAAAGGGCCTTATTTTTTGACGCCAAGCAGGTAATGACCTTTACAGACGTGCTACGCATGTGGCGTGAATTAGAAGCCTTGTACTCGGGGAACCTGCTCGTGCTGCCGTTTTGTTTTGCTGGGCATGAGCCGGCGTCGGACCTGAGAGACGCCTCTCCCTTTGTCAGAGGGAGCCAGAAGGAATTCCCTTCACCTAAGGCTTCACTGAAATCATGACGCTAGAAGCATGAAACTTTTAAAACTGAAACAACAAAACAATGAGTAAATAGGTATTTATTTAAACAGAGGTTAGTCATCAGTTCTGTTAACCCTTTTGTGTGTTTGGTTGGCACACAGAGACCTATAGCCACCACCCCCCACCCCGCATGTAAACCCCCTCCCGGCATCTCCCACAGTCCAGTTTCATGAACTGATGTCCCACAGTGTGTGACTGTGTGTCCCCTGTGATGGACAAGCGGACAGGCTCCCCAACCAGGGTGTTTCCCCGCCATCTTACCTCAGTTTCCTGAGCAAATGTCCAAACTTACTGCCACCCAATGCTGGACAAATGGCGACAGAGGATGGATGGATGGTTTGTGTTATAGAATTGCTACAAGTCAAGATGAGAAATGGTTAATAACAGAAGAGCCAATTCATACTGAGTCAGTAGGTGTGTCATGTGATGATTGTGATGTATGGATATTAGCAGCTGGATGTCTCAGATCCTGAAGGCTATCACACCTTAACCTCAATTACGTGTTTTTGTTCAGCTTTCTTCCATGTACCCAGCATGCATTTTAATTTAGAATTAAACTAGAACAATAAATTAAATTGACTTAAATCTCTCAAGTCTCATGATGCATTCTTTCTGGGCTGAAGGAACGCGTCATTTTCCTTAAGCTTGCGCCGCATGTCAGTTTCTGTGACATATGATATCAGTGCCGGACCAGGGAGAGTGACATGTTGAGAGAAGAGAGAAAGCGAAGGGGTGGAGGCAGTCAGGGCTGAGATGAAAGAGGGAAGACAGAAACGAAAGGGGGAGACTCTGCCGCTCACTCACCTCCATCGTCGTGCGCCGATTCGAGTCGGGATGGATGCCTGCCAGGGATGGTGTTATAGCTACCTTTGTGGAGGGTATAGCTCATCTCGCTTTCATGCTGGGTCAGAATACGGAGGAGTAAAGTAACGGGAGACCATTTAGGTCCCACCTCCGGATATGACAAACAGGGCATGAGGCAGGCTGAGCAGTTAATCAAAAATGAACTTTGAAGATACCACATCAAAGTTTACGTTGACAAGGAACGTTCCGGTTCGCCTCCGGAGCCTCTCAGGGTCCATCGCTTTAGGCGCAGATGTCCGGGTTTCCGAAGGGGTCATGGTGCCGTTTACCGGGGCGGCTCCCGTGCGTGACGTCCTCCCCCTACTGCTGCCTCCGCCGCATAAGCGTGGATCTGCCTTGAGGGGAGAGTAGGGGGGAGGAAAGTAGAGAAACATCTGTGAGGATTAGGTTGCGCCCCGACAGCTGCAGAATGAGCTACATTATCCACGTGGATACGTGCCTCACTCACAACAGCGGAGTGACGGGTTTATGTGCACGTTGCTTTAGTTGACTGAGCTCTCTGCGGGATCAAGGGTTAGGTTAGGTTTCTCAGGAGGCAATAGGTGGTGTAACTGAGGTGGTGGACTGCTTCTTAATGGTGGACAGAACTTTCTGCAAGATAAATTCAGCTGTGGCCTTAATACTTGTATCTGTCCTGCTCACTTACCATCTAACACTCCTGCCTTCCTGGGCTGACTTAGCTAACATCTGCAGTGATGCTATCGGCTTCTCACTGTCTGAACACGCGTAATGTTAACATAAGAAATGCATGAATTACATTACAGAAAACGTCTGATTTTATGCTTGCACAAGCATTTAACAGCAGTCAGTAGAATACTGTTGTAAGGCAGGGGATGGTTTATCTTTTTCCAAGTTTGGATTCGGCATAACAGTGAGTAAAAACTCAATAATTCAATACAGCTGCTCAATATACAGACATGTCTTGGCTACCACTGAGACTTAACCACTTTGTCCGTAAAAGGTAAATAAGACATGTACCAAGATAGAATCATTAAAAGGAAATAAACATCACTGGAATGACCCTGTGAACCAGCCGTCTCTGACTGAATTTGCTGTATATATGACTAGTGAGGGAGAAGATCCAGGCTTAGGTAATATATCTGTTATTTTTCAACTGAAGAACAACTCCCCTTAGGACTGAGGAACAACTCCCCTTAGGACTGAAGAACAACTCCCCTTAGGGCTGAAGAACACTCCCCTTAGGGCTGAAGGATACCCCCCTTAGGACTGAAGAACACTCCCCTTAGGGCTGAAGGATACCCCCCTTAGGACTGAAGAACACTCCCCTTAGGACCGAAGGAACCCTCCTTAGGGCTGCATTCTGAGCAGCATGTGGCTCAGTGAGCTAAACCTCTGTGCCTGTGTTCAGAAGCTCATCAGTTTAAGTCCAGCACATCTGTGGGTCCTTGAGCAAGGCCCTTAACCCCCAGCTCCCTGGGTGCTTCTTTGGGTGGATGCAATTTGTGGCCAGCTTACTCTCACCTCCAGAGAGCAAGTTGGGGGAGGCATAAAGAGAATTTCCCCATAGGGATCAATAAAGTATCAATTATTATTATCACTCTCATAGGGCTAAAGGATACTCCCCTTAGGACTGAAGGATACTCCTCTTAGGGCTAAAGGATACTCCCCTTAGGACTGAAGGATACTCCTCTTAGAGCTAAAGGATACTGCCCTTAGGGCTGAAGAACACTCCCCATGGGGATAAAGGATACTGTCGTTACAGCTGAAGAATATTCCCCTTAGAGCTAAAGAACACACAATTACTAATTAACTTAGCACCCCCAAAAAATGATGGCTTGCTGTGTATTGCAGACCGCAGAGTCCTATATTCCCCATCTTTAATTGCTGTACTGATTTAGCTCACAAGATGCTTCTGAGCACTGTGATGCCGGTTACTCGCACAGCCCAGTCCGCTTACGCTGAGATTAGACACTGCTCCTCCAGACCTAAGGTGTGTAGTTCCCTCACAAGTGGCAGCATCCCAAAAACGCCTCATAAGAGCATAAACAACTCTCTGTCCAAACACATCCTTCCCCCCTGGCAAAGATTCTCCTGACGCAAGGCCTCAGTCGGGGCCAGACTCCACACGGTGGCCTGCAGCTGTGAGGGAGCCCTAGAAAGGCCTCCTCTGTGCTCTAAGGTTTAAAATAGACGGCATCATGATGTAGGAAAGGGCCTGTGGCCGTCTTCATTTTCATACGAATGTTCAGCTTCAGTGACTATGAAGCTTTTGACTTCATCTAAAGTCCATCACTGGCACACCTCTGACATGATGCCTCACGTCATGTAATCCAATATGTTCACCTATGACAAAAGCTTGGCATCTCTTGAGTTTTTTTTTCCATGTTTGAATGTGCTGCTTAAATACGACTCATTAAAAACGATATATTTAATGAAGAAAACTGTATTACATCCGGCTTCTATAGGCAAGCAAGACACCCTTGGGTTAAAGCACGTTGTCTCAAGGTACTACACCTATGAGGTTTTCCAGTCCACATAAACAGACCCCTATTAAACGCTGGTTACATTTCCTATATTGACTGAAGCAGGCGCTGGTACCATTGTCACATCACGTCATGATCTTCAGGGTCTCTCTCAGCTCCCAGTAATGCCAGCCTAACACTGCGTTAGGCTCACATCAAGGAACTCACCGTGTTTAAGCACCATATGAGTGAAATAGCACCTCCAAGTATAAAATTACTGCATTCTTGATATTAAAAATATCAGAGAGAGTACCTGTGGTAAGTTTATTTTCAAACACTTCAGATTCACTGTAGGAGTAGATTTACTGAGCATGACCACTGCAGCCCAGCTTGGTTTAGTTGAACAATGAAACAGCTGTTTACCCTGGGAGCATAAATCACATTTCATTACCATTCCGGTATCACAGACTCACGTGAACCGTAACAATGGAGAACGTCCCTGTTTTACCTTCACAGAAAGCTGTGATTGAACCTTAATCTTTATCTTAAAGGTAGAACCCTCAAAACTGCAGTGGCAGGAAATGGTGGATCCAGTTACCGTGTCCAGTTACGCCGCGCATGGCACACGCTCCGGCACTTGGCGCTGCCCTCGGGGCACAGCCCGTCCCATCAACCTGACCTGGTAAAAAAAAGCACTGGCAGGTTTCAGGCTCCAAACCTCAGACAGAATATTAACCATTTTGCCATCAGGACTGAACCATTAACATGCACCAGGTGTAAGGTACTTAATTACAGCTGTTTAAAGTACTCACAAAATAAATAATGATTACCAATAATAATGGGTTAAAAAGTATTCCTCACTTAACTGCCTGACTACTTTGTGTTCAACTACTCACTAACATAACCATAACTGTTAATTTAACAATTTTACTGGTTAGGTTTACTAAAGGTAACAACATAAAATAGATTCCACATGTTTGTTTGTCTGTCGGATCCATACTGATGGGAAGTGACCCATTGTGCGGGTTCCAATGATATCCGTGATGTTACCGGAGAGCAGAGGGATGGGCCGGGCCGGATACATGCATCACCACTGTCTCATCTGCCCGCAGAACCCAGCTGACTAATGCTGACTGTCTTCTGTCCTGGCCTGACACCTCTGTGACAATCCGATGAGCCCTTTGGGGTTAATAGGGGTAAGAGAGAAAGGTGTCCTGTTTCCACCCCGGGAAGGTGAGGCATGAGGTAACCTGACATCACACAGGGGAAGAGACTCTACCTGGAGTGAGTCAGCATCCACTCAGTGCAGCACAGCTGCCTTCAAAGCGCAGGACAGGCAGCCTGCAGTTACTGTGCCTGTCACACCCCATGGGGGCTGCACCCCCCACCAGCCCCAGCCTCCACAGCCCGTCACGGACCCCAGGGAGATGATCTTAAAAGGGGATTGCCTTTAAAAAACGCCATTATGCCCTTTCTTGAGGTTCCTGAATCCCTCACAGAAACAGGATCCTGTTAAAAGACAGGGCTCCATCTTTGCTTCTTTACAAAGGCTGTCCTCGGGACCACGGACACTTTCAGGAAGTCACGCACCGCAGAAACAGTGCGACCCCCCTGTGGCAAACCCCAGGGTCATGGTGGAGCAGCAGTGGCCGGCCCGTACCGGGGATACTGTATCCCATTGTTCATATTCATCATCTATATCCCTCCGGCTAAGAAAACAGTAGGAGGCTAAGCAGGTGGCATAGAGTGTGGAACATCATCATCCTTCACCTGCAAGTACAAGGGGCAGATGAGGGATCACATTAGATAATGATCTCTGATGTCCAGTTTAATTTAAAGTATGCGGTAATGTATAACATTCAAACCATAAAACCATAATACTCTGACCCCCCCTCACTTCATGGGTACTGCCAGAATTAATAAACGACGTGATTTAAAACCTTGTTCCCCATTTCACTGGGCCAGAGTTTCAACTCATTTCTGGGCAGTGAGTTACGATAAAGGCGATGGTGTAAAATAAGGGCCGTCTTGTTTGCCCTGGAGGTGTCAGAGACCACGAGAGCGGCGGGGCGGATGTATTCCGTCACTCTGGCCCTGCAAGCCGGGTTGCTCTGTGGGGTGACTGCACACCAGCTGCGCTAGCAGGCCTTCGACCCCTCACAAAGTTGGGGGGGGGGGGGGTGGAATTTGATCTAAAGCACCACTGGTTAAGTGCCCGTGAAGTGCTCCTAACATACCTGATGTTTATTAATACACCCCCCAATGTGACAGCCGCAGAGGATTATGGGCCGTCGCATGATCTTTCGGCCACATCGCCCCCTGTGGCCGAGCAGCATCATGACACTCTAGGGACTGCTTTCTCCAAACCAGGACGCCCGACCAAGCTTTGATGGCGAGAAAGTCCGTCCCCCGACCCTGTGGAAGCATGAGCCCCTGAATCTCACGTCTTGACAAGGTTGGGGCTTAAGTGATTGCTTTTAAATGCCTATAAACTGTCACCACAAATTATGAAAGATGCCCAATAGCGAAAGGTGTTTCCACAAGCCTCTAGCAATTCCTGAAAGGATTTACTAAGCACTTTGTAATGGTGCTGGCAACCAGCTGACAAAATACTGCTTTCATTACTTTTTTTAAATAGTTGCGAAAATTATTTTAACACTCCCATGCATTCGTGCAGCAAACCATACTATGGACAACAAAACCATTAAACTTCTGACACAAGGTCAACATATGTGAACTGTTAATTGAAACATCGTGTAACTGATACACAATATGGTCAAAATTACGTAAATGCCCCAGTTAATTTATTTTAATTAGGAATTGCCTAATTAAGAAACACCCATTGCGGACGCAGACACAGGTATAAAATTAATCACACAGGCATGAAATCTCCAGCATATACCAT